TAATCCTAGACCTCTCAAAAATAAAAAGTAAAAGTCATGCAGTCCCCCTACCCCACCACACATACTGACTGGAGACCAGATGTTAATCTGTTCAGCAGACATACTCCTTTTCTTCACTCAACACAGTGGCAGTCGTTCTACAATCTATCACACACATAGACATTATCACCCTTTTCATCCCCCAGAGTGTGTTGATGAGAGAAAGGGAGATACCAATACCTCCTTTTTTTTTTTTTTTTTAAGAGATGGGGTCTTTCAATGTTGCCCAGGCTGGTCTCGAGACCTGGGCTCAAGCAATTCTCCCACCTCAGCCTCCCAAAGTGCTGGGATTACAGGTGTAAACCACCATGCCAGGCCTCATCATCATCACCTTTTTTTTTTTTGAAATGGAATCTAGCTCTGTTACCCAGGCTGGAGCGCAGTGGCATAGTCTTCGCTCACTGTAACCTCAGCCTCCCAAGCTCAAGCGATTCTCCTGCCTCAGCCTCCCAAGTAGCTGGGACTTTAGACGTGTGCCACCACAATCGGCCAATTTTTGTATTTTTAGTAGAGATAGGATTTCACCATATTGGCCAGGCTGGTCTCAAACTCCTGACCTCAAGTGATCCACCCACCTCGGCCTCCCAAAGTGCTGCTGGGATTACAAGCATGAGCTATCGTGACCAGCTGCCCATTATTACCTCTTGATATAACACTTTCAAAATCTGAAATGGAAAAGGTAAGGAACTTAACCAAAGTCACGCAGTGACCAGAGGACAGCCCATAAGTGCTGACAGCTTTGAGGAATAACTGTCGTGGCACCAAACTCGAAAGGTATTCATTAACTTTTATTTGAGCCACAAAAAGGATCAAATGTGTCATTTCAACAAACACACACACACACTTTCCCTGCTGTTAAACAGAAGCAAATGGTTGGCTGAAGTAGCACTCTGATCCTCTGAAAACAGTTCCCAAAAGCAATTAGCTAATGGATATCACATCCTACACCCTTGGAGCAAGCAAAGGGAGGCCCCTGGACCAGATGCCCACAAATGAAAACACACAGATTTTGGGTACATGCAATTGCTCTACCTCAGGGACATCAACATTCAGAACTCTCTCCTATTCAGGATGTTCCTATTTTTTAAGAAAAGAAAAGTTTAAACAAATTTACATGTAAAGATAGGAATAAGGCCAGGCATAGGGGCTCACACCTGTATCCCAGCACTTTAGGAGGCCAAGGCAGGCAAATCACTTGAGGTCAGGAGTTCAAGACCACGCTAGCTAACATGGTGAAACTCCACTCTACTACAAATACAAAAATTGGCCGGGTGTGGTGGTGCATGCCTGTAGTCCCAGCTACTCAGGAGGCTGAGGCAGGAGAATCGCTTGAACCTGGGAGGTAGAGGTTGCAGGGAGCCAAGATGGCATCACTGAACTCCAGCCTGGGCAACAGAGTGAGACTCCATCTCAAAAATAAAATAACAAAATAAATTAAATTAAAGCTCACCATGATCTGGCTGAGTGGAGGGTGGGAATTATTTTCTTTTCTGTCTCCAATGTGTAGGGAAGATAAAGATCCTAAACCAGTGTCTCCTTCACATGCAGCCAAAAGCCCTCTACCCCGTCCAAGAGTTCACAGACCTCTGTTCCCAGAACAACTTTCAATGCATCTGCCCACAACCACTGCTAGCCACAATTTATCCACACTACTTAGAATCTGCATACCTTCTCCATTAACCTAATTCTATGGAACACTCCTTTCTGATATTTTATTTCTGTTATTTCTCCCATTCCTTAAGTTTCACAAATACAGGATCCCACATAAACAATACAGAATCATTCATTCTATCAATTAATAATCATTGTTGACTACACTGAATAGAGCTTGAGGAAAGATTATGTTAACAGAAAGGGTTTGTTTTCATGGAGCCTGAGAAAAACAAACAGGAATTGAGGAGCAAGTGTTTGTTAGTATGTCCCAGCCCTGGCCAGAGAGAGGGGAGCAATGGCCAGAGGACAGAAACATCTGTCATTCTGCAGTTTCATTTCTCATGGTCAGTTAATATCCTAAGTTTATTCATGAGTCTCTTCCAAGTTTGGTTAGTGAGTCAGTCTCTCTGGATCCGATCAGCTCTGAGTACCCTACAAAACTAAATTTCTGGTCTACGAAGCAGAGAACCAGATCCTGAAACATAGTGATGCCCCCCAAACAAAGCCACCCCATGATAATATCTATCTCCACTCTCTAACCAACGCCTATCATGGGATGTATGTGATGTATCTAAGACTCTCTGGTAGCTCCCCATGGCTTACAGAATAAAATCCAAACTCCTTGACCTGCCTTTCACAGCCCCAAATTAGCTTTCCAGCCTCATCCCGAAACAATGGGGGCTACCATGGCTCCATGCTTTCATACCTATGACTCTATCTACCTAGAATGTTCTTTGCTAAATCTTATTTGCCTGTGAAACTCCTATTCTTCCTCCAAAGCCCAGTTCGAAAGTCACCTCCTCCCTGAAGTCTTTCCTATTTACCCAGGGATTTCATTCTTACTGTTTCAAATAGCTCTTTAACCACAACTGTGCTAGAGAACTTAAGTACACTGTAACTCATCCTTTAAAATATCTGAGCTCCACTGGATACTCTGAGCTCCTGGAAGAAACTCACTATGTATTCCACAAGCATGAAATGGGAGCTTGATGTTGAATGACTGATCACATGGAACATGGCATTAAGTTATTAAGAGACGATAAGAGGAAAAAAAAAGTCCCACAAAATTCAAGAAATAAATTATCTATATATTTAATCTCATTTAAAATGACCACAATATGGCTGAGACACAACGTGGATATTTCAAACATTTAAATAATAAAACCAAAGGCCTGTCTGGTGGCTCATGTCTGCAAGACCAGCACTTTGGGAGGTGGAAGCAGGAGGATCACTTGAGACCAGGAGTTCAAAGCCAGCCTGGGCAGCATAATGAGACATTGTCTCTAGTTTTGTTGTTGTTGTTGTTGTTGTTTGAGACGGAGTCTCACTCTGTCACCCAGGCTGGAGTGCAGTGGCTTAATCTCAGCTCACTGCAACCTTCGCCTCCCAGGTTAAAGCAATTTTCCTGCCTCCACCTCCTGAGTAGCTGGGACTATAGGCGTGCGCCGCCACGCTCAGCTAAGTTTTATATTTTTAGTACAGATGGGGTTTCACCATGTTGGCCAGGCTGGTCTTGAACTTCTAACCTCAGGTGATCCATCCACCTCAGTGTCCCAAAGTGCTGGGATTACAGACGTGAGCCAACACATCCAGCTTGTCTCTAGTTTAAAAAAAAAAAAAACTAATAAAAATGTTTAAAATAATAAAAGCAACCAACACTTGAACCCAGTGCTAAACTGTTTACATGACTTAATCTGTACAACAACTCTATGAGATAGGGACTTTCATCTGCACTCAAGATGAGGAAACTGAGGCACAAGAGAGGTTAAATAACTCAAGATCATTTGGTTTGCAAGTGACAGGAGCAAAATGCAAACTTCAGTGGTCTGGCTCCAGAGCCAGTGGGCTCTGAATTCAGGCAGACGTGCTTTGAATCCAGGCTATGTTACAAATATGGCTTTGAATAAGTCATCCATCCCCATTGCGTTTATTTCTTTGTAAAATGGGTATGATAACCTCTTTCTCTTAGGGTGTAGAGAGGACTAAGTTAAATATAATAATGTATGCAGAAGTCTTTAAAATTGGTTCTCCCACCTGGCAGGTACTCCATAAATGCTAATTCATTTTTGCCTTCCCTTCCTAAAAGCTAGATGAAGCAGACTCACAGAGGCAAAGGATCTCCCCCAGACTGCTTGAGGCTTTTCCAAACAGATCAGGTAGTTAAGCCACTCAACCCAGAAAGCCTTGCCTTACCTGCTTATCTCAAAAGTCCATTCCCTGCACAGGGGCTAGAGACCTTTTAAAATGTAAATGTCATGTCATTCCCTTAAACTCTTCAAAGGTTCCTAATTACACTGGAGATACAAACGAAACTAAAGAGGCAGGCATTCTGCCCCCAAGGCCCCACTGCTCTAACTTGGCCCTAGTCTCCAGACTAATCTCCCCTCTCCCTTTCCCCCTCCAGTCCCACAGGCCTCTTTCACTTCCTCCTTGCTACAGTCAGCTCCACACATGGTTAACTCTTAACCCTCCTTCAGATCTTGGCCTAAACGTCACTTCCTCAGGGAAGCCTTTCCTGAGCCCCCAAATCAAATCAGTCTCTTAACCCTCTCTTCATAATTCTCTCCTTATACTCACCGTAGTAAATTATTAGTTTACCACTTCCTTCAAAGTTTTACTCGAAAGACACCTTCTTAGGAAGCCTTCCCAGGCCACCCTAATAATATAAATTCAACCACCACCCCTGATACCTCAGATTCTCCTTCCCTGCTTCCTTTTTCCCCTTAGCATTTCACACTTTTTAACAGACCATATTTTCGTTACATACTTTATTCATTGTCTTCTCCCCCACTTCCATGAAAGCACCACAAGGGCAATCATTTTTGCTTTCTTTGTTCACTGTATCTAGAACAATGCCTAAGACATATTTGTTGACAAATATTTGTTGTTGAAAAAATTTCCACGACTATTTATTTATTTATTTTGAGATGGAGTCTCACTCTGTAGCCCAAGCTAGAGTGCAATGGCACGATCTCAGGTCACTGCAAACTCCCATCTCCCAGGTTCAAGCAATTCTCGTGCCTCAGCCTCCCAAGTAGCTGGGATTACAGGCATGTGCCACCACACCCGGCTAATTTTGTATTGTTTTAGTAGAGACGGGGTTTCACCATGTTGGTCAGGCTGGTCTCAAACTCCTGAGCTCAGGCACTCCACCCACCTCAGCCTCCCAAAGTGCTGCGATTACAGGCGCGATCCACCATGCCCGGCCACGACTATTTATTGTTAGACTTTCCCAATGGCTAACAACTAAAACATGGTATCTTTCTAGCTTACCACTGTACAGCCAACACCTAGCTCAGTGCCTGGCACATAGTAACTGCTCAGTAAAAATTTATTTAATAAATCAAAGCCACAACTAGTTGAAAAATTGGAAAATGATCAAAATGGACGCACTAACACCACACTTCTGCCTCTTTCACTGTGTAATGTAACAGTGAGGTTGAGGAAACAGACTACTGAAATACCACCAAGCATCCACCAGGCCAGGAATCTGTCTGTCCACATCCTCTGCACTCTGCCATACCGTGCACTACCCTGCACCCGGGACAGAAGCATCCTACAGAGGCCCTCCATGAACACAGGCTTGAACTCAAGTGGGCAAACCATAAGCCAAACACCATCTTACCCCCCAAGTCCCATTCTTCTACTGCCAGTCCTATTCTAGACTAGTCCTGGATGCCAAACATGCTTCCCCGGGTGGGCCTGTGGACTTACTCCAATCCAGGACCTTTAATGCCACCTTTGGCTTACTCAAAAAATGGTTTAAAATCCCTGAACAGCTTCAATAATGCTGCAGTTCTCAGGAGCAGGCATACCTAAGGTCATACGGACCCCTCCCCCTCACAAACGCTGATCCAAGGCCAGGAGGCCATCTGTCCAGCAGACGCTCTTCTGTCCTCCCTCAGGTCACACTGAGCCTCCCGTCAACCCCCTCGTTGGCAGGAAGAGCCCTTGCAGAGAGATAATTTTCACCCTGATCAACATGCCTGGTCACCCCTGAGGACCCCAACTCTGGAGCTCTAGGAATACCTGTCTGCTCCCCGAGAAACCTTCCCCAGGGTCAGAACTTGGGCTCAAGGGAGGGGAGGACTGAGGGGCGCCGAAGAGGGTCGTTCCCCGAAGTGTCTGCCCCGTGACGGCGACAGCTCTCCGGGCGGCGGGGACGGTCGGGCTGACAGGCCGTCCCAGGGGGAGAAAGTGGCACCGTTATCCGTGCCCGGGCGGGGGGCTGCGGGCTGTCGCCGAAGGTGGCCGCACGTCCCGCCCGGCGCGGAGGACAGCAGCGTGCCCGGCCTGCAGAGGAGCGGCGGTCGCAGCGGCGGAAGGGGCCGGCGCCCGACGGCCGGGGGCGGGGTGGGGTGGCGGCCTGGGCCCGCCAGGCGGCGGTCGGGGGAAGTGGCTGCCGCCTCTGGCGGCGGGCAGGGTCCGCCAGGCTGCAGGGCAGGGCCGCGGCTCCACCTCGGGCTCGGTCCCGGCTCCGATCCTCCCAGGCCCAGGCTGGGGCTGTCCCGGCCCGCAGGCCCCGCTTGGCCCCGCTCGGCCCGGCCCCCGGGGGGCGCTTACCTGGCGGCTACGGCGGCGACTGTAGGCCCGGGTCTCGGCCGCGCGCGTCCCCAGCGCCGGCTGCGGGAGCCACAACATGGCGACGGCGGTGGCGGGCGGGGCTGCGGCTCCGGGGGCGGAGCGGGGGCGGGAGCCGGCTTGGCGGCGGGACCTGGCTGGGGCTGCCGCGGGGAGGAGCGGGGGCAGGCGGAAGGCGACTCGGACCTGGGCACCGGCCCAGGACGGTGCGGTTGAGGGGCTGCCCCGGCCTGGGCCCGGCCTCCCGCCTCCCGCCCGAGGCGGGCTGCGCGGCGCAGGCCCGGCGACAGCGACGACGGCAGCGGCGGGTAGGGCGGGGCGGGACGGGACCGTACGGGGCGGGGCGGGGACGGCGCCGCTCAGGGTTGGATCCCCGACCCCGGGCGTCCCCCGCCCGGCTCCAGTTCCCTCCACCCCTGCTAGGCACCCTGTGCGGTCCGGCAGGCAGCCGCTCCCTGCGAGCTGAGCCTCTTGTCCTCTGACGCGCCTCGGGGCAAGGGCCGAGGCCGCCCACTAGAGGAACAGGATCTGCCTACGCAGCTGTCTCGCCGGCGAAGAACGCCCAGGACCCGGGACTGCGTCCTCTTCACTGAGACCTGGCGCATAGTGGGGCCTAGTCGAGGCTGTTAAGTGAAAGGAAGCAGGGGTGGCGTGGGCCTGGCGCTCAGGTGCGCCCTAAGGGTTTGGTCATACAAGGACATTCGCTCAGGCTTGGAGGTGCGGGGCACTCTGACATGTTGCCACTGGGGTAACCGAGGGACGCGCGGCAAACAGAGATGGAGGACTGGCAACGGGTGCCTCAAAGAGGTAGAGTGGGAGATCTCTCAGGGTTACTGGGGAAGCGTTGACTGTGCAGGGTGAGAACTCAGAGAGTCTGGCAGAAGGCCAGGAGGGTGACCGGCAGGACCTTCCAAGAACCCGGCGTACCTGGAAACTGGGTCCGCAGGATTAGGGCGGCAGCAAGGTCAGGGTGTGGGAACACGGAGATGAGGCCCTGGTGCCTGGCAGTGAGCACACACTGCTAACCGCGGAGAAATTCCTTCTCCAGGAAGGAGATGCAAATTTGCAAGAGGGCTGGAACTAACACGCAACCGGGGCCTGCTGTGCACCAGGCGCGGAATTCAGTTGAAAGTTTGGCTAAGCAGTATGTTAGCGATGAAGCAATGAAGTCAATAAAGGGTGATGATTTCAAGTATTTGGCAGTGGGGGAGAGAGAAAAGTAGGCCTGGAGCTCAAGAAGTACCAAGAATAAAGGAGAAAGTTGGGTCCTACTGTGGAATCTGAGGCAAAACCATCCCTTAAGCCGAGAAGTTTGAGTTCAGCCTGGGCAACATAGCGAGACCCTCCCTCTCTACAAAAGAGTAAAGGGAGAAGTTGATTTTTTTTCTCTCTCTCTGTTGAGACGGAGTTTTGCTCCTGCAGCCCAGGCTGTAGTGCAATGGCGCGGTCTCGGCTCACTGCAACCTCTACCTCCAGGGTTCTGGTGATTCTCCAGCTTCAGCTTCCAAAGTAGCTGGAATTACAGGCACACGCCACTTTGTCTAGACAAGAGTGTCGCTCTTGTTGCCTAGGCTGGAGTGCAATGGCACAATCTCGGCTCACTGCAACCTCTGCCTCCTGGGTTCAACCGATTCTCCTGCCTCAGCCTCCCGAGTAGCTGGGATTACAGGCATGTGCCACCATGCCTGACTAATTTTATATTTTTAGTAGAAATGGGGTTTCAACATGTTGGTCAGGCTGGTCTCAAACTCCTGAACTCAGGTCATCCGCCCACCTCAGCCTCCCAAAGTGCTGGGATTACATGCTTGAGCCACCGCTTCCGGCCCTAATTTTTGTATTTTTAGTAGACATGGGGATTCGCCATGTTGGCCAGGCTGGTCTCGAACTCCTGACCTAAGGTGATCCACCCACCTTAGGCTCCCAAAGTGCGGGAATTACAGGCATGAGCTGCCACGCCTGGCCGGTGATATATTTTTTTTTTTTTTCTAACTTGAGTGGGGAGACCTTAAATAAAGGAGCTGAGAGGGGAGAATGGCAGATAAGATGTAGGAAAATTGATGGTGCAAGATACCGAAAAAGGAAATGAGAAGGGGGAAGGGGGAAAGGGGAGAGCAAAAAGTCAGAGAAGTCCACCTCTTACTACACGATTTAAAGAGCGCTTAAACACTGAAATATTTTGAGGTAGGGAGGCATGCATGCTTCCATGGATGAGCTGCCTGGATTACCCTCTACAATCATCCTTAGGGCAGCTGGTCTCACTGTCCTTTAAAATTTAAGTACAATTGACTCCAAACCCGTGTACCACTTAAGAAACCCAGCATACCTGCCAATATCTCCAGAGTTTCATTGGGAACTTACATTTCTCCTAATTATCTCAGGCCCTAATTTCTTGTTTCCAAAAAATATTGTGCTCTTTGGAAGATTTGTCACCATATCCCAGATATTAGTCCATTTATATTACCTCAAAATATTGCACCCTACCTATAAGCAAGAAAAAATGCTCCAAATTATATGATCATGTTATAGTTACGTAATTGTTAAATAAACTAGAGTTTGTGGCCATTAAAAATCATGGCAAAGAAAAATATTTAATGATGTGGGAAATCTTTATAATTAAAAGTACATTATAAGGTGATATAGCAGATGGTTATAAATATACATAAATATGTATAATGCATAGATTTTAAAACAGGACTTTTCTTCTGTGACATCTATATTTTCTTATTTTTATAGTGCATGTGTATTTCTCCTGGAAGCAGGGAAATGGTATCTTTAAGTAGCTTAAGTATTTTTAAGAAAGGAATTTTTTAAAAGATATTTATGGGGTTCGAAAGAAAAAAAAATATATTAGGGCTGGGCATGGTGGCTCACGCCTGTAATCCCAGCTCCTTGGGAGGCCGAGGCTGGTGGATCACCTGAGGTCAGGAGTATGGGACCAGCCTGGCCAACATAGTGAAACCCCGTCTCTACTAAAAGTACAGGCATGGTGGCACGCCTGTAGTCCCAGCTACTTGGGTGGCTGAAGCATGAGAATCACTTGAACCCAGGAGGCAGAGGTTGCAGTGAGCTGAGATTGCGCCACTGCACTCCAGCCTGGCCAACAGAGTGAGACTCTGTCTCAAAAGAAAAAGAAAAAGATATTAGGATTCTGGAAAGGAATTTGGAAATGAATCTTTGAAGTGTAGATGGGACTTTAGCAAGTAGAGATGGACTGGGTTAGGAGACCGTCCCAGGCAGAAGGAACAGTACAACCAAGAACCCAGAGTGAGAAATAGATGGACTGTTCAGAGGGGAGCGCCAAGAAATTCATTTGGCTGGAGCACAGGACTGGTGTAGAAGAAAAGTAGGGGAATCAGTGTGGAAAAGTAAGGTAGGACTATATAAAAAATGGTCTGGAATGCTAAGCTGAACCCTGTGTCCTTTGCATGTCAGGAAGAACCACTGAGGCTTGAATAGTGCAGGTAATAAATTTGCAAATAAATTGTCCTGTAACTTCTTACTCAATGAGGTTTTAGGTCTCAACCCATCAGTCCTAATATTTGGACATTTGATTGACTCAGAGCAATGAGTTAGGGGCAACAGTCTTTGTATCCCAGCTGTTTACAGACTGAAAATTGGGTCTTGCTTCTCTGGCTATTAATTACTATAATTTCTCTTCACCATTCAGGAGAGTTTCAGAGCGAGAACAAATTAGCAAAGAGCAAAATGGAAAGGAAAAAGAAATGTGCACCTTACACTAGTACTTAGAAAACTTTTTTGACTGCGATCCTCCATAAGAAATGTATTTGACATCTCAACCCAGAACGTACGCATGCCTGTACACCCACACACCCCTGTAAGACAAAAGTTTCATGAAATACTACCCTTATTTTATGAAATGCATTAATGCATTCTGATATTTTCAACTAATTAATCTTATTCTTTTTAAATGCTGATCAGGACCTACTACATTGATTCCATAACCCCCTGCTGGGTCACAAAGGACGTTGAAAAGAGGCTCAACTATAGCCAGATAGCCTGCACCCTTAAACTTGCCATGTTTACATGTCCCAGAAATCAACAGGATAGACAAGACTCTTCTAAGATGCTGTGGAGGGGTGGGATGGAAGGATTAACAGGAGCCATGTTTGGGTTTCTCTTCCCTTGTCAGCATATGTTTCCTAATATCAATATTTCTCGGGGGCTATAAATATTTTCTTCTTTGTCCAGCTCAAGATACAGATTAAACTTCAAACAAGGTAGACCAGAGACAATTTTTTATTTGAATGAATAGAATCATGGACTAAAATAAAAGGAAAAATAATTTATTGATTGTAACCGTTATCTTAGTTGTGACAATACATTGAGGCTATCTTATCTAACACTGTTGGAGTATTGTAAGGGCAATAAGTTTAATCTCTTCCTTGTAAATTTGGAAGCAATGGAAAGGTGAAAATATCAACTTTATTGCCAATAAAGCTGAACTGAAGAATGTGGCT